TTTCATTTATAAATTCATTAAAAAACGACTAATAAAGTGTATATTATACACTTTATATTATAATCACATTGCACTTGAATAAAGTTAAAGGTGTAATCTGCCGATTGTCCTGCAGGTGACCGCATAACTCTGTCTTCTTACGATGCACTTAGGGCTTTACGATTACTCCAGAGCACCCGTAGATCTACGATGATTTTCAAGTGCTACTTAAGTTACGATGCTTTTGGGAAACAGACCGTAATATTAAGATCAGTCGTACGATCGTCTTTACGAACTTCTTAGGCTTACGAAGCTTTTGGGAAACGCAGCCCAGGCCATTAGCCTACATGAAATGCATCAATGCCATGATAATTCACCACATTCATTACTGATAAATCAGTTATGTAAATGGGAGAGACGGACTCAGTAGTATAATTGCAGCAGGTGCACAATAAGTTTTCGTATACATGATATCACTGCTGGTGGTAAGGGCCCCATCTCGTTCTTTGCGTGGGGGCCTCTAAGATGTACGGTACGCCACTGCTCCCATGCACAATCCTCTTTTGCTGTATTTGCCCTCATGCAAGGGACTTGGCAAAACAGTCTTTTTGGAGCCTAAATTCACCTGAACTTTCAATCTAAAATTAAATATTTTCCAGTAAATTACATGCATGTGACAGAACAAGTTGGAGATGTCAATTCATGAGTTATCAGCATGAATCCACAACTGAAGTCTGGTCATAAGTTCAATGTTACAGTATCTGTAATTGTTTTTCAACAGTGCAATATGCAATGAAGGAATTATAACCTTCAGCTGTTATTACTCAGAGAAGGTGGAACTTTGTAAAAGATAGAATCAAAAGGAGTTAATTTAATCAAAAGACTGCATTTAATGGTGGGCAAATGAGGAAGAGACTGAAAAGTGTTAAAAGTTCAACCTTTTTCTTCTGGGACTGACCACCATATTTACTACTACTTATCGCATTTGGCACCAGGGTTGCATAGTCCATGTTTTTCCCGCAGAATTGGGCTATTTCTAAACTGTTGCCATGGGTTGATTTTTTTCCCCTCCACGGGTAAAAAGGTTTGACATATTGCATCAATTATATTTATTAAATGTAAAAGATTGGATGACCAATAATTTTCTCCTATTAAATTCGGATAAGACAGAGATATTACTTATTGGACCAAAAGACAGTACACAGAATCTCTTGGATTAAAATTTGCAACTAGACGGATGTACTGTTACTTCCTCTACAGTCAAAAATCTGGGTGTTATATTAGATAAAATAATGCATCTCATAATCTTGTACTGCAGTTATATCTGATCAAATGCACATTATTATTCTTTAGTTTGGGTTAAACAAATCAATTTTGCTTGGTTGGAACAGCAGCTATGCTAATTATGTCTCTATTTGTTTCTCTGTTTTTTGCCATCCCGTGGTAACTAGGATTTACACAAGCTTCAGTCTGGATCCAGAACACCTGAGAAGAGATGATGCCAACCCCTCAGAGGACCTCAGATGATGCCAACCTTGAAACAACATACAGAACTACCACATTTGCTATAAGTTTGATTGCATCATATAATAATTGCTGTTAATAGTGTTCATCGTCTGTTTGATTACGTCTTTAATTGATTTTTCCGTACATTTCTGCCATATGTACATTAACTGACAGTCACCACTGATAAGCTACCACTAAATATTGTAGAAACTTAATTTGCTGTAAAGTTGCTTTGCAACGATTTGTATCGTGAAAAGCGCTATACAAATAAACTTGAATTGAATATTTGACTGCTTGTTTTGAAATATTTTACATTTGAAATAAAACTGATTCTGATAAAACATGTTTTGTGAGGGAGGACCACTGGTAAGGAGCCTTTGAGCTGTGTCTATGCTCACCACGAAATAGTGGTTTCAAATTTGCATAACAGTGACCATAAAATATATATTTTAGGTATATATTAGGCATTTTTTGAGTTTTGATAGATGGGATATGGTCATCGGGATACTTTTGTGCTAGTTTTGATCTGCTATTCCGCTAATTTTGATACGCAGACCCGGCAACCCTGTTTGACAACATTTTTTAACTAACCAGTCCAATCGAGTTCATCTGTTAAATGTTCTTTAAGATCGCACTGTATGACTTGACATGACCTAGATGTCTAGTGTGGATCTTTATTAATCAAAAGCAGCTTTAATAGCATTATTTTAAAAAAATTAATAAAATAAAATAACATATAAAAAAACGCAGCACTCAATAATCACACTGTATGACTTGACAGACAACTTGTTGTCTCGTTTGGCTCCATTCACACAGCAGAGGCTAATCAAACTCACTCTTAAGTCCTGAAAATTTAAGAGAGTCTTTGGTTATACAATACAGTTGTTGCTCTTGTTCATAACAGATGTGTGTGAACAAGATAATTGAATTCATCAAACAGGACTGGCAAGTGTACTCTGCTTCTGTGGGAATGTTGTGTGTAATAGTGTTTTCATCACCACAAACACCTCCACCCAGAATGAAGAAGAATTAAAGCAGACGCTTCCTGTTTTCCATCCGTCGTCTAAGCAGATTACCTTTTCCCATCCACCCCTCCAGACCTTCCTCTCCTCGAAAAGTTTATCTGGAAATTTCTGCACAAAAGGTTGCAATGTCACAGTCAATATGTCACAGCATGCGCTGGGTACTAGAAAAGGCACATGCGACCCTGGAGCACCGAACCAGAGCGGTTTCATGATGATGAATGTGTAGCGAGAAACCCGAGGTCTCTGTGCCAATTCTATATGGGATTACGCTTGGCCATTGGTTCACTTGGGTTTTCCATGGCAGGCCAGGCCGGTGAGGCCTCCGCTGTCTACCTGCTGTGGTGATTGCATCCTGATTCAGCCGAATCACTTTAGTTGTAATGTGACAAAGCAATAGAATGTGGCAGAGCGCTCATAAAATTGCATTTTGCAGGGGTCTGCACTTGCTTGTTTTTTCCCCTTTTTCTCTCCCTTAGTCATGGTTTCCACCTACAATGATGAATTTCAACTGATGTGATTTATTTCAGGAAGAGGCACAGAGACAACCGCAGTTTAAAGGTAAATGGTCCTAATCTAGTGCACAGTCCCATCCTATTAACCTGTGAGTTCTGACCATATCAACATCTAAGCTGCCGGGATACTTCTGCCTTTATGACTCATTTTGGTTATATAGCCTCAGACCTTCACCTCCTCTGTGATTTTATTCAAACTCATTTGCAATTCAGCTGACCAAATGCATTCAGTGCAAGGACGCCAACTATATTGAGGAAATAAAACATGCTCCATTCATTTTCTTTTAGACAGAAACTGCCTCCCTAGTTCTTTTACGAGTACATGAACACTAAAATTAGGATATCATTGTATAATGACTAAAAATGCATGCCCATTTTCATTAAAAAAAACATATTGGCAGGCTTTTTTTTTTAGCAGTACTACACATGTACTCGACACACACTCTCACGGAATTGTAATTCTGGCACAGAACCTCCATGTTTCCATGGTCACCCGCATCTGGTCCCGCTCTACAAGAAATTGCTCAATACACGCAATACAGAGATTAAATGTATCAAATAAACGATCCCTTAATTTCGTCAGCACCACAGGACTAGAATGTTGCCAAACCCTCTTGAGCATTAAAGCCCCACCAAATACTGGCCCACCTAACAATCTGAAACGTCATGACACAGTGGGTTACTTTCATATTGGTTGTCACCTGCTGGCTGTCACTTTGAGCCGGGAAAATAATCGAATGCTTGAGTTGAGTGCGCCAGCCGTGCTCACGAGATGCTACAATAGAGGAGGGGGGGGGCAAACAGATGGATAATTTACCACAACTTATGTAATAAACCATTTGCTGCCAAAACCCTCTTTATCACATTGTAACACTGGCCCGATACAGAATTACAGAGTGCTTTAATCTGAACGTTTTTATCCAGCAGATGATTACATGTCGCTGCTCTAAGCCCTCACGATAGCCATTGCCTGTCAGCTTGAAAAGGACCAATTACAGCATGGCTGCACGTATCTCTATTAAGCAAGTCTACCTCTCGGTCTGGCGTCTGTGCTGGAGGAACATAACCATTTACGCATTGTCTCTCATAGTTGAGGGCGCACAAATAAATGCAGTCAGAACTTGCGTTTGGCAGTTCCATTCATTTTAAAGGACTTTACAGCGTTAAGCACATCTTACCTGGCAGGTACTTTTATATTTTATTACATATTCATATACTATCCTCTCACTCTGTCTGTCTCACACACAAACTGACGCCCTTAAGACTTCCCATAATGCAAAGTAAAGCACTAGCGTGGCTGGTTTTAAAGCTTACAAACCAACAGTGGCTCCATTTCAAAAACTGGTGCACTGCTTTGCTGTCTGCTACATACTAATTGAAACAGAACCTCATAAATTACTGATTTGGACCACTCTACACACAAATATATCCATATTTACATGCATACAGTACATTCAAGTAAAGCAGTATACATACTATATAGCAAATCTGAACAGCTTGACCAGCAGATAATATTGGATATATACAGTACGTATGTCCAAGTTTATCTGCATACATACAGAATATTTGCATAGGTATATTCTATATTGCATATCTCTATTGCTTGTATCATCTCTAAATGTAAACCATTGTCACCCAGCTCTAATCTGTTAAATGTGACTATAAGGCATGAATTTATTAAGCTATTACTATAAACATTAACATTATGATTTTCTGTATGGCTGCTGTGGAGTTAGCTCATCGCTAAGCTAACAAAACAATATTCCAGCATAAAACTAGTTAACACACACAAATAGGCCTATTGGATAAAACACACTTTTTTCAATTAATGCTTAACCATGTATGAAATATTAATAGAACAACATACAGTATCATTCTCCATCTTAGATGAACGTATTATGGGACTACCTTCTCAATTAAGTATGAATGTGGTGCTGCCTTTGAATTTGGCCAAAATAAGGTCATTAAAGTTGCTTACCTGGTGTCGGGAATGTGCTTATGATGCCTCAAAGCACAGCCTAGGTTGGCAGCTCAGTTGGCTAGAGTATGGAACAGAGAAAATACTACTATGAGTTGTTTACTGGAATTTTAGTTGGTTTACTCTGCAGATTAAAATATTAGTTAAACATAAATAGCTTAACTATTTTTTAATCTATGAAAAAAAAACTTTTAGTTCATCTGTGAAAGTGCTTTCAGTTATTTATTAAAAGAGCAGATGCTTCTATGTTTATCAGCAACACTTGCCAACAACGTCTTTCATTGCTAAAAATGAAACAAACAAAAATGATGCCCAATAAAAAGTTCTGAAATGCACTTTGCAGCATTAAATAGCCTGGAGCAATGCTGAGGACAGGAACAACAGTAAGGACTTTTGCACTTGCGGAACAGAAAAAAAAAAAAAGACAGAGTAAACAAATCAGAAATTCCATCTTGGACTTAATCTGTTCTTGCGCCGGAGGCTTGGAGCTCATGCCCTGGGGACCCCCTGCAATCGACTTACTCTCCCCGGGGATACCGCCAGTAGGAACACGCAACCGAATGGAAATCTCAATCCACACAGACTGATATTGGAGGCATTTACAGTATGCTGAGTATTTTGTGCAGTCAAGCATTCATAATAGAAGCACCACAAAGGCAACATTCAGGAAGAAAACAAATACCACGCTACTAATCTGAAACAGGACCTCCTTTATCCGCTCTAGTATTTGAGGATATGGGTTGATGTGACTTTGAACCTGCTGCAGATTTTGATTTATTGCGTAACAGCACTGTGTAGGACGTGCCCTGCATGTGTTTGTGTGAGTGTTTGACTGGAAAGACCAAGTGGGTCTAATACGCTGAGAAAGCTATCTGTTAGCATTCAGATTCATGGCCACAAATAAATTTTTTTGTGATTTCTGATATATGGTGTATTATAAAACTATCACGACTAGTCTGCATTAAGCATGAAAATGTCACTAGCAATAACATTAAAATGTGCTGAGAAATTGAATTCTCTTAAACTTTAAGTGATACAAGTCTTTGGCAGCCCTAAAATACTTAACTAAAATAAAAGCTATATCGAAACTGTGAAAACTAACAAAAGCTAATTCAAATCTAATTTGAAGACAAACCTGTAGACAAGTATGATATGATATGATATTTTACTGTATTACATATACACTACAACATATACACTGTAACCAAGACTGTAGTTATTTGATCAAAAATACAGTAAAATCCGTAATATTGTGAAACATTATTTTAAAATATAATGTATGATGATGCTCAAGAAACATTTGTTATTATTATCAATGTTGAAAACTGCTATGCTGCTTAATATTTTTGTGGAAACTGTGATATTTCTTTAGGACTTTTTGATGAAAAGAAAGTTTAAAAACAGCATTAATTTGACAATCTTATGTAAAGTAAATTTCTTTACTGTCACTTTTGATCAATTTAGTGTGTCCTTGACTCCTTGCAGAATAAAATAAACAATTTCTTTAAAAAAAAAACGTAGAAAATGCTGTAGTATTTAGTCACAATATTAATACATAATAATAATAATAATATACATGGTTAATTTTGAATGACTGTCAATGGAGAAAGACTTGTTGGTTCCAGATGATCTACCAGCACAGCCAAGGGTCCATGCTAACCAGCTAAATATTTATCCCTTAAGAGAGACAGATTCTGGGACTTAGCATCCCTATCTCCCTTTCTTTATGACTGCAGAGGGTGGTCAAAGTGTTTGGTAAAGCTCCAGGTACCCGGGCAGCCTCCAATTCTCGTTCTTCTGATGGCATTTAGGAGACTGACAGAAAGAAGGGGAGAGTCACATTTCATAAAACAATTATCACAGACAGCCATGGCAACATGCCTGTTAGTGTTGATTACTTCCCTTGCATGCTAGCCTGGTGTGTTGCAAAAGTCTGCAACCTGCAGATGACTAAATGATTTACAGATGAAAAGGGATCCAGAACTCAACGGGCGCATCACAAAGCCAACACCGAAGGCTTCGCAATAAACACTTGAAAATGTCTCGGGTATGGAAAGCAGCCGAGAGAGATTACTTCCCAGAAGAGGTGCACTGTAGTGGGATGTTAAATGACTAGCTAGCTTTAAGGAAAAGATTACTCACACTCTGTAAGAAATGGTTCGATATGGCATTTTTAGCTTTTTCATGTCAGAGCCAGCATGTCCGTGCTGCAATGCTGGAACCCAATGAACACATTCATCACCAAAAGCTTTCCGTTCCTTTCGCAACTATGCACCCTCGGCCCGCCTCAGACAACATCCCTCGCTTTCAATAAGGCTATTAAAGTTGCAACTCTACCACCGTCAGCCTATTCCACAGCTGAACACATGTAAGAGAGGACCTATGGGAGTCTGAAAGCTACAGAGAGTAAATTAACCCACATACACCACTGCCAAATACAACAGTAATTTCACACCTGGTTGGACAAAAACAGAACCATTCAATTTTCGCTGGTGACAGGAAAAACATAGACATTTTAAACATCTACAATAGTACGAATAGTGTGTTAGCTGTCATTCACACATCCTTAAACTGCATTTTATGGCTCTGAAATGTTGATTACGCCACTAATGGAGCCACAGATTGTGACAGCTTTTCCAATCTATTAAATTTAGACAACAATAGATGAAGAATGTGTAATGCCCAAATGTGATTTTGGCTTCAGGGGGTTATGGTCGAACATTCTGACTACAGTGTTTGCTAGATTTAATAACCTCAGAGAAGCGATAAAAGCTCATCTTAACACATCTCTCAAAATCAAAACTCAAAATTGGTGTCCATGTAAAATAGGACAAAGAGCCACTGCAAATCCTCTAAAAAAAATGACTACAGGAAGTAATACATGGACCTGTCTGACACATTAAATAAGAATTCGATAAAAGCAGCGTGTCCATTATGAAGGTATATTGGTCTGATGTGATGTGGCTAATGTCTGAGATTGGAAAATATAAATCTTTCCTGAAAATAAGCTTGTTTTTGTCTAGGCATAAAAAAACATTTTTCAAAGTTTAAAGGTCAAGAACCAAGTCTTTGTGTTACTAAAGTTCAACATGATTTACCATCAAATGGCCATTTATTATGACCTGCACAGGTGCTGTGGTGGTTCACAACAAAAGAATGAAAAAAAATTGAGAAAATAAATGCTCGTTAAAATAAGTCAAGCTTTGTCTTTAAGCTGTCACAGTGGCACAACACCCACTACTACAGAGCTACATAAAGTTCAAAACAAACACATCATATGCAGCAGCAGTATGTGAGCAAAGAGGAAGAATGGCAATTATAAAATATGATAAAGAAAAATCAAGGACAAGGGAAATGCAACAATCAGAACACCAGCTACTCAATCCACCAGCCTTCATGTGGTATTCCCACTCCCTAATCTGAATCTCCAAGTGGCTTTTTAAAGCCTTGCCTCCACATCAATGCAGCTGCCAGTTGCTGATTGCAATAATTAGAAAATCTCTCTCATTGGTGTATGAGACAGGATTGGCAACTACTAGAAGGTCAAGTTTGGGCTGGCTAGCATAAGCAATCAGGCCCTGTGCTGGTAGATGCTGTAACTGCACCATTCTGCAAATAAGAAAAAATCCTGTTTCTCCATTGATGACCATTCGAAAGTAGCCCTGTATTATTACAAAATAAATTATTTTTCGAGCAACATTTATAATTGCACATATTTCATTCTTATAGGTATGATATTATAGGCTGTGGCAGTTGAATGGGAATATGGATGGTTTTCTCTGGGCATTATAGGCCTCCTTGATGATAACCAGCCAAACCCTGACACCCCTGGTCTTTCCAGAATAATAACCTGCAACAAAGGCTATGTTCGGAATAGCATACTAACATACCACATGCTACATCTTATTTCTGCAGTGGAGTCAGAGGCAAAATGCTTTGTTAGCATTTACAATATAGCCAAAGCTTAAGGTATTAAAACAGACAATGCAAAAACAAACACAGTGAAATGAAAGGGAAAATAAAAGAAAAAATATACAAAACAATATAAAAAAAAAAACAAAAAAATAAACTGTAAGCATGAAATGCCTAGACCCATGGAAGCGTGTGAGTTTATACTGTATCTCGCAATTCAGACTTTTTTCCACGCAATTCCAAATTCTGAATATAAACTAAAATTGTGAGTTACACTGTAACTTGCAATTGTGAGAAACAAAGTTAAAATGTCACAATTACCTTTTTAATTTTTTATTCCATGGTGGGGAAAAAAAGGGTTGTAAACCCAGAATTGTGAGACAAAACATTTTTTTTTTAAATATATATATATATATATATATATATATATAATTGCAAGATATTAACTCAAGAATTGCAAGAACATTTTTTTTTCTTTTAATTCCATTGTGGAGACGGGCTTCCAGAAAGACCTACTACATTTGTCAAAATGCCCAGTATACAACAAAGCATACTGCATTTTTCTATTAAAAATAGTATACATACAGTATATACTCTGCAGTGTTCAGTAAGCTGTAAAGTATACCATTCAGAAGCCGAATGAAACTCATTAATAAACATTCTTCACATTAAAATTGTTTTAATTCACAGACCTGAACATTAAAGACATTAGGAGACAATATTTGTTCCAGATTTTCAGCTCCACAGAAAACAAACATTTGTAACATTCAAAGTACAGTTACTTATCATTGTGAAAAACAGCATGATGGGATGCTTGACAGTTTAAGAGCCACTTTAGTGTTGTCTCTAGTGAGCAAAGTTAAAGTGACATCATTTTTTTAAATGGTTTAAAAACTCTCCATTTGCACTGCCTAAATTATCCCTTAGGCTGCAGTAAATTGGGAACAAGCATTGAGTGTTCCGTGTTGGGACTGTTTGATGCAGAGCAGTCAAGGGTACGGCCATCACACAAACTACTCACGATGTGGACAAAGTAATAACTTCATTCAAGCCTCTTTTGCATTGTGCACTTCAGAGATTTTGCTAGAATTTCAATGCAACACATTTCGGAAGAAATAAGCCTAAATAGTTCAGTTGGGAATTATGCATAATTGGAGGAAGGATTATAGAGCTGCATGCTTCTGAATACCTAAAATGAGAATTAAACAAAAACACTGTGTGTTACAGTGGTTAATTTGTAAACATGCATATTGCATACATAAAATAATATTTTTAAAACCATTCCAAGAGTCTTCACGTTATACAAGCACACTCTTCGTTAAGCAACAGGATAGGTCAACACAAATTTTTTTTCTCCCACATCACCCAGAGGGATGCTGGTTTTTCCATGAACAGCAGATATCGACTCCTACAATGTTGGGATGAAAGAATGGAGCTAAGAAGCATGAGAACTGTACATTTGTGGGAGGTCTCAATAAGAGGTTTGTTATCACTAAGATACAGTTGCTATGGTGAGGCTAATTAGCGTGGCTACATGAGGGTGTGACTAAGCACTATCAGTGTCCAGTGGGAGCCAGGTTAATTATTAATCAATTGTTATATTTTTGACCCTATGTGCTTAACAGAAGTTTTTATTCTAAGGATCCTCAAGTTAATGGAATAATTTCTTGATTGAGAACAAACATTTGCAAAACCATGACAAGTGATATAAACTTCCATTGTGATTTGATTTGATACAGGCTGTGTTTTTCTCTTTTCACATATTTCAAATGAGTATTGTTTCTAATCAAATGTTAATGTGATTCATCTCAAATATGTTCTGCAGAAGAAAGTCAGTTATGCAGGTTTGGAATGACATGAGGGGGAGTAAATGATGACAGAATGTTGTTTTTTTTTTGGGGGTGAACTATCGCTTTAAGGAATTTTAAATGTCTATGGAGAAAAAGGACGAGAAATATATTTCCGTAACCCAAGCCACATTGCTCTCTCCATGGTTGTCTAGTGAGATTTTTGTTCTCTATTGTGAAATTTTATACAGGCCCCCCTGGCTGAAACAGATCCTAGTTTAAGAAGTGCATCTGTAGTGCAACTGGTAGAGTGTAACCTGGACTTACTGCCATTTTCCTGTCTGCACAGTACTGTCCCTATGAATAAAGGTAAATATTCAAGGTTTGGAATCAGTAAGATGTTGTAATGTTTTTGAAAGAAGTCTCTTCTGCACATCAAGGCTGCATTTATTTGATCAAAAATACAGTAAAAACAGCAATATTGTGAAATATTATTACAATTTAAAATAATGGTTTTCTATTTTAATATACATTATTATAATTTATTATATAATTTATCTAAAAACATTAACAATCTTACTGATCCAAAACTTCTGAACGGAGGGTGTATGAGTGTGTGTGTTATTAACGTAATAACAGACCCGCATATCTCTGCTCTAGCAGTTCTCAACGCCGAAAGTACACCTCGTCAATTATCGACCAATAATGTAAGTCTCACTTCACCTCAGAAAAACCCAAAATGCCCAGCACTGGATGGGCTTGAAACTACAGGGAAAATTAGCACTTCTCCAATCGGCTGACCACTCAGTATCCCACTCTTTTTAAACTTTTCAATCTCAGAGGATATTCTAATTTTTATGATTAAAGCATGACTACAATGTCTTCCAACTATGTACAATCTGTCAATATGGTACCCGTCAAATTACAACTCCTACTGTCTGTTACATCAAAATCAACAGGAAAATGAAACGGTTGCCCTCATCTTAAATGGATGTTGTTGTTACAAAGGACTGTATGTGTCCAGACACGATCGCCTGGTTGATTTGACTGTAAAGGACTTGAACACAATACATAAAGACAGTAGCCAGCATACTACTGTTGAATTGAACTGGTTTTATGACAACACATTTGACAGTGACTATTTTCAAAACATTCCAAACACTCCTGACATTGTGACTGTAAACAAGGCTTTGAACTCTGTATTTGTCATTGAGGTTTGGCTCTTGTTTTGATCTGTATTTGGATACATGATATCTTTCCAAATTACTGAAATATCAGCCATTGGTTGAAGCCATCCATCAACGTGACTATCATTGTAAGTTAATTACCCTAGTATTTGGAAGTTTAGGTCATGTGCACGAGAATGTGATTAAAGAACTGCAGTTGAGTTGATTGCAAAAAAAGAAAGCAAAAAAACTCGCAAAATTGTGTTCAGTTTCAGCCAACTATAGGGAGTATGCAAATATGGAAACAAAGATGTTTTGTCTATCCTTGAGTGTTGAATGTTATAAATATAAGGACTTGTGAATGTATGTTAGCCATGTGTACCTGTCATCTTGCAAACTGACTTCCCAAGGTATTTGGATTCCGTTTTTGTCTTGTGGATCCAAATAAAAGAATAATGTGTGTGTGTGTGTGTGTGTGTGTGTGTGTGTGTGTGTGTGTAAAGGTTTATATGGGATATGAGGACACAAATGTGTATAATTACATAGGTATTACAACATGAACATAGATTATGAGGACAATTCCAAATGGTTTTAAAATAAACATACTCAAGGTATTTTTTTTGCAGTATAAAAACCATTTCACCTAAAGTTTTTTTTT